CTAGAAGTTACATTGCTAGGTTAAAAATGTTTTGAAAACCTTTTGATCTTGATGTATGATAATTATTTCAGGGTCCTTTTTTCTGACCTGACTCAGTCTAGTCACATCACCACAATCTCTCTCTTAAGCCCCTACGTAAAGTTGGTAGACGAGTGGATGTTAACACATGACCTGACCTCATGTTTTTAGGTCAACCCATATTTGCCCCTGTCCATGTAATCCAGTCAGGCTGCTCTGAAGATGTCTTAAATAAAGACGAAAGCTAAGGTAATTGGGTTGTTTCCATTATCCCGCAGGATTTTATCAAGATTTTATCTATCCAAAATGCTTTCATTGTGATCTACATAGTAATATATATATATATATATATATCTATATATATATATATATATCTATCTATCTATATATATATATATATATATATATATATATATTATCTATTCATATATATATATATATATATATATATATATATATATATATATATATATATATAATATATATATATATATATATATATATATATATATATATATATATATATATATATATATATATATATATATATATATATATATATATATATATATATATATATATATATATATATATATATATATATATATATATATATATATATATATATATATATATATATATATATATATATATATATATATATATATATATATATATATATATATATATATATATATATATATATATATATATATATATATTTATATATATATATATATATATATATATATATATATATATATTTATATATATATATATATATATATATATATATATTTATATATATATATTTATATTTATATATATATATATATATCATATATTTATATATATATTTATATATATATATATATTTATATATATATATATATATATATATATATATATATATATATATATATATATATATATATATATATATATATATATATTTATATATATATATATATATATATATATAATAATTTGTTTTTAACGCTATTTATGAATTGAATATTTGTATAACTTTTAACGCTTGTTTATAATCACATTTTGCTTACTATTTCTCCAATTTTGTGGTATTAACTGGAATAAATATGGTAAAGAAGAATATTCCAAGAAGTTTCGACGATAGAATTCAGATTATCATAAAAGAAATGATATAACACTTGAAAGAAGCCGATGTTATCAACCTCAAAAATCACCCTCTCCACATCAGTTACATTCATATTTTTCAAGGTAAAGTGTTAAATTTACTGTATGATTTCTATTATTAGATATGAATGTAACATTTATTTAGACTGTGCTATCCTTGTGTTAGGCTAACCAACTCAAATTTTTCTATTTCGAGTAACTCACCTAACCCTATTTTCTCCATAAGCCCTGTTATTTCTATTACATTTCTATAACATGATATTTTACAAGAACACAATTATCGCTATAGCAAACTACCTTGTATATATATATATATATATATATATATATATATATATATATATATTTATATATATATATATATTTATATATATATATATATATTTATATATATATATATATTTATATATATATTTATATATATATATATATATATATATATATATATATATATATATATATATATATATATATATATATATATTATATATATATATATATTTATATATATATATATATATATATATAAATTTACAAAAAAATATAATATATATATATATATATATATATATATATATATATATATATATATATATATATATATATATATATATATATATATATAAATATATATAGTATTTTAAATACACACCAAACATACTTAAACTTTATAAGTTTCTTAATCCTCAACAGGTTGGGTTGTGTGTGTGGCGCATAGCAAGGGTTAGCTCATTGGCGGTGATGATGTGGGTCAGGTGTTAGGTCAGACACGACAAGGATTAACTTCCGCCCGATACAAGGGATGGATGCGTCCAGTAGCTGCAGATATGGGTGATGAGCAGACCCAAAAGTGCGCCGAGGACACCTAGCTACGCTAGTGGGTAGAGTGAGGTGTGGAGGGTATAGAGGAGGAGGGTGGGGTGAAGAGGTATAGGTGGGTATAAAGATGACATTGAGTTGCCATGTATGTGAAAACTTTTAGAAAATGTTTTAGAAATTACAGTCAAGCTAAAATAAATTATAAATCAAATTATTATTTGACAAGGAAAAGAATATTAAAATACTGTATGGATTGTATATTTACCTTAAATTTCTGAGCTTGGTTTCTTCTTTTCCACAGTACATGCTAAACTATCAAGTGAACGCTTATTTGATGCCATTATAAGGGTGAAAGTTGAATATTAATAAAGTTGAGCACTTGTGAGACGACCACCACGAGACACAGAAGGGTAAACAATGCGTGACCAAGTATGTCTTTGGAACCCGGATGTTTCTTGTGCTCAGTATTATGATCGCGCTTGAATTATTATGGCGATATTTTCAAATTCGAAACCTAAAATTTTGGCACTTATTTTTAATCAGATTCTATTCGAATTTTAGATGTATCCAAATTTTTTGGAGATTCGCATTTTAGAGGTTTCGCTGTATGTGTATATACAGTTAAGTCTTGGTGTTTGAAAATAGTGTATTTGAGACATTCTGAACACCAAGGCTATGGTCATCGTGTTGAAATAGTGTATTTTAGGCTATAGTCTTGGTGTTCAGAATAGACCTCAAACACTGGTGAAATTTTTATTTTACAATAAGTTGCTCAGAGTGAATGATGAAATTTTTTGGAATTGACTGCTGTTACCTCACTGACCACATTAGCTGTATTAATAAAGAAGAAAGAAAGCATTTACAAGTGTTTCTCCCCCAAAACACTAAATGTTCAAAAGAATTTGACAAATGGTGTCAAACTGAGTAGCCCTCTCACCTCTTCCAACCCTTTTCCCTTCCTCTATCCACACACTGGTAGAAATGCAGTGGAGAAGGAGGAATGGTAACCTACCATCTCTTCCCTTTCTCTACTTCCTCCATTTCAACGGTTATTATTAAACTAACCTTAATGTAGTGATCCTTAGAGCCAGTAGCCACCACATCTTGACCTGGGATAGTGGAGTCTACAGCCAAGCACATTACTGCTGCCTGGTGTCCTCCAGCTAGCTTACCAACTGCCGTGTGTCTGAAAGTAAAGTTTAATCAAATATAGAATATACTGTATAGGTTTGATAGTTAACCATAAAACATAAAAGTTCCTATTAATTACTGATGCTACAGGGTACTGACAAATCTTTAACTTATTGTCTTCAAAGGATATCAAGATAATAGCTTTCTTCCAAATCCACAAGACTATTGGCTGAGTGATACAAAGGCTATAATCATGGTGTACATTCCTTCAAAAATTTGAAGACATTAAGCTCAATGTCTTCAAAATTTACAAGATAAATATACCAAGGCCTTTGTGTTACTCAAAGTAAAAAAAATTGTAGACTTCGTGGTGTGTATAAAATGTCCATTGAGAAAAATTAATTGGAGTATATTTGGTCTTGATTCCAATCACTTGTATGTATACAGTAGATCCTTGCCATTCTCGTAAAATGGGAAAGTTGGGTTTGGGTCTTGGGTGCCTGGAACCAACTAGAATAAATCCCATAGGTTCTGTAATTTCGTTATCGCATTTTTAGTTATCACGCACCGGTGGTCCCAATTAGACGTGATAACCAAGGGATGACTGTATACCTATACCAAACAACTGACCAGCCACGGCAGAACTCATCCCCTTTTAACTTATTTAATAATACAACTTTCTTTGTCAGGGTCATTACTGACTTCTGCCTTTTACATTTCACTCCACTAGCACTGACACTAGGCAGTCTTTTTGAGGCCATTTCACACAGAAAACTAAAGTAATGACAGTACAACACGAGATTACAGGTAGTAGGTAGATAGGCAGCTCCAAACAAGGAGGTACTACCGCCTGGGAAGATATTGGAAGCATTATGTGTTGTTTAATGGTCGACCCTGCTGCTATATGGCATCAGGAATTGTGACCAAGCCCCAGGTTGCTGATCTGACTTTCTGCCTCATTTACACACAACTGCAGGGTCTCAATTGTTTCTCTTATTTGGACAACACTAACATATTTAATGTATATAATTTCTCTCGATTTATTTTTTAAATTTTGTATTTTTTATAGGTTATTATTTGTATTAGTTTTATTATTTTATTTGTATTAATTTGCTATTAATTTTATTAATTGTTGTAATAATAATAGATATAGATATTATTATTATCATTATTATTATTATTATTATTATTATTATTATTATTATATTTTCGCCCCCCAGGCCCTGATGTGGGTCATTACCTGTGCCCGGGTGGGCTAATATATATTAAAAAAAAAAATTGCTGCTGCATGGGGTGACTCGTCCTGTGAGAAAAAACTTGCAAGCTAGCCACCATCTACTTACAATAAATTAATCGTGAATCGCAAATGGCAAGGGTCTACTGTATAGAGAACTTATCAATTTTGATTTTCCCAATAATTTTAAATTAAACTATCACTATTAGACACACAACAATTAATCACTTACTTCCGTAGGTCCCAAATTCTGACTATATTTCCAGCTGCAGAGTATAAAATATTTGTTGATGTGGATATGGCAATATCTGTGATTAACGTCTCTCCTTGTGGCATCTGAAGTGTTCTTGATTGACTGCTGACTTGTGCAAATCCAGTTGATGTTAATCCTGAAGAGCTGAGTGTCTTGGTGCACTTGGCTGGGTTTTCACGAATGTCCCATACCTGTAACATGGAAAATTACTAAACCATAAATGGTGAACATGATAATTAATGCAACTTAGTTAACATTATCCCTCCTTTAAACAAAAAATAAATAAATAAAAAACAGTCTTATATTCTGTAAAAGGAAGGTTCTGATAGGTGGTGTTCCTTAGGAGGAATGTCAAAAGTCATTTAATTACAGTAGAACGTGGATTTAAAGCGACACCCACAATTAAGGACTGTTTTAATTTAAAGCGAATCTTTCCTATTTTGCATGAGTCAATCTGGCGCATCATATTTTAAAATTTGCACCTAATGTTTCTCTGGGCACGCTACACTGTCCTAAGCGCAAAGCTGTACTGTACATGTACGAAATGATTACTAAAATATTTGTTTAGTGCAAACTATATCATGATTATATATTCAAAATAATCACTATCTTATAAGAATTCCAGAAGTGTAAATTATATTCTCCCTGGTCACTTCTAAGACTTTTTTAAAATAAAAATACAATAACTCAATCTAAAGGACATAAATAAACAAATAAATACTTCACTAGACCTTAGCAACAACTGTCAAACATGTCACTGTCACCTCCCTTCTCCCTGCCAGCCAGGGTTTGGTGGTTATACAGTAGGCTTTAAGTTTTTTTCTTATATAATATCACAGACTAAAGTTAGGAGAATATAATTTGCATTGCTAGAATCATTGTAAGACAGCGAATAATTTGAATATAAACGTCATTTATTTTGCACAAAAGATAAAAATTTTAGCCACTTGTAATTAAAACTAAATTTTTTATGTTTGATGCAAACTATAGCATGTTTATATTCAAACTAATCACACTATTTTATAAGAATTCCAGCAATGTTAATTATATTCTCCCAGGTCAGTTTAGTGAAAACTTAAAGTTACTCTTAGACAAATAAAAAAATAAGCACCAGACCTTGGCATCAACTGTCAAACATATCACCTCACCCCTCTTCTTCTCCCATCTTCCTAGCCAGTAAACAGACCATTTTGCATCCCTTAATTTTAGCTGTGTTAATTTAGGAGTGTTTCTTTTAACATAATACTACAAAAAACAATGTCAGTCTTTTTAGTATTTTGTGTTCTCACAAGTACCAACTAAATTATTCCATTGAAACAACACTTCAATTAAAAGCGACTTCTCTTGGAAGTATCTCCCGTTATATCGACATTCTACTGTATTATCTTGGGCCAATGGAACCTCCAAGCTCAATCTTTGATTTTATTTATTTTTGTACTACAGTATATTTGTACAATACAACATTGACAAGATTATTTAAAAATCACATGTAATTGTAATAATGATTCAAGGGTGCTTAATCGTGTTTACTTAACCATTTAAAACTCAATAAACATCAATAAGGTATAAAACATTACCTTAATAAATGAAGAAGAGACTGAGAAACAGGTATGCTGGGATTCACAATATCTAACACAATTAACATTGTTAGGATGACCTCCTAGTGACTGGATTTCCTGGCCACGGACTAAGTCCCACATTTTCACAGTACGATCTGTAAAATATTGAAAATTATTGGTTATGATTATATTTTTATGTATTTGCCTCAACTTCTTGCCAGAAATATATTTTAAAAATATAACTGATCTAACCATGGAACCATAACATGAAAATATAAGAGAAAATACCAATTAATAAAGTTGGTTGGGATATGAGTGGTAGGAAGATGTATTCCAGTTCATTTCAATATGTGAGATCTGTTTCAATTTGTGAAATGGAAAAATTTTATATGGACTGATGTGAAAATATGACAAAAATTAAAGAAAATCCATGCAAAACAAATACCCTTTGGCTTTCAAGGTGGCAACATATTATACACATTTAGCAGAAAGAAAAAGTAATCCCAGAGCTTGACAGTCACAAAAGGGAAATACAAAAAAAAACTAACAGACTTTCTGGAACTAACACACTTAACTTTTCTGGATTTGGTAAAAACTTAACCTTCCCTGTCATTCAAAAGGTCACAAATCATAACACAGCCTACAATATGAATATGAAATTGGACATGTCCCAAAAGGTGACAATACTGTATAGCTGAATCCAAATCTGAGACAGCTTAATCCACAACACTGGTGGAACTTAAAACTTGTTGGAAAATTTTTCCTAGTCCCCACAAAAGAAACACAGCACATGCACTATGGTTTCAGAACAGTGAATGACGTATTCATTAGTTGGTGCTCGTACTGTGAAGTGTGTGAGGTCACAGCCAAGATTTTCCATGGGCTGTGAGATGAATAGTCATCATAACAAGATGATTTACTTTATATATTAAATAAAAAAATTGCAATGAAATTCTCTCAACTAATAACATTTACTTAGCACCAATAATGGTATAAAATTATCATATAGAATTTTTTGAATAATTATGTGCATGTGGATGTTATCTGTAGGGATTCATCACAAAAGCTGAGAAGAGACTAAGAGGCTCTCGTGTGTGACTGAGTGAAATATAGTTATCTACTTGGCAACATAATCTAGCCAGACCCGCCCTTTTTATTCAAATAGGTCAGCGAAAGATCAAAACTTCATAATGTGTGACCCGAAGCTCTGCAGACGCACGTCATATGACATGGCCTGGAGGGTAATGTACTGTGCTACTGTATTCAGCCTACACCATATGCACTTACTAAGTGTTAATTACTTCAGTACAATAAATATTATTCTTATTTGTTACAATACAGAATTCAATTAATTTAAATTCAAAATAGATTTCTGTTTGTAATCTAACTTCAAGATTATTTGATCAGTTAGAATGTCCAGTGATCAAAGACAAATAGTCCAAATTTAACTACAGCTAAAAATGACAACAGCCAAAAACCTTAAAGTCATTAACGTTTTAAATATTTCTTAAAACTAACCAAGAAAAAATTTACAGATTTAATGACAACTGTGAGCAAAGTAATATGCATCTTAACCAAACCATTAAAGCCACATACATACAGTACAGAACTTACATGTACAGTGACCCCTCGTTTAACGAACTCAATCCGTTCCAGAAGGTCGTTCGTTAACCGAAACCATTGTTTCAATGGGTTTTTGGGTAATTGGTTCCAGCTCACTGAAAATTTCCTAAATTCAACAAAAATGGTAGAAAAGTTCACTTACTTTGAGGTGTGTATGTAGAAGGCTCCTGGATGATGATGATGGGAATTAGAATGGGGGTGGAGGAGAATGGAGAAGAGAAGGCATTGGGGTGGAAGAGAAGTCACCCCATGGCACCATTTCACCCATAAAATTTTAGTTCTCTTGGTGTATTTCAAGATTATTTTCTTTAAATCAACACTGCACTGCATTATTTATTGTCAATATGTAAAATATATTTCAAAATGACCAATAATTTGCTTGGAAACACAGAAAAAAAGCGTTTAGTTGAAGAGAGTCTCAAGCAAGATGTTACCTCCAGTGAAAACAGAGAGAGACTAACGCCTGTTTGCTGTGTTAAGAGGCTGGATGCTGCGCTTTAAACTAGTCACTTTACCTTCAATTATGTTCAATAATTGTTAAAATGACTAAAAAATTGAATATTAAACTTTTAAAATTATTGAATAGTATAAACTTCTTGATATTTACTAAAATAGTAAGGAATTTAAGCCCTAGAACCGATTAATGTATTGGTGGACTGATACTAAAGCTGGTTGCCCGGCCAGTGCAAGCGAAAACATGTTGAGGTCGGTTCGTAAGAAATTCGTTAACCGAATTGAAGATCCTTATGGAAGGCAGTTCGTTAACCGAGGTGTTCGTTAAACGAGGGGTCACTGTATAAATTTCATCATCTTACCTTTGGATGCTGAGAACAGTAGATCATCAGTTGCATAAACTGACAACACAGCTTTGGAGTGGCCCTGAGCAACATGCGTGCAAGCTAAAACTGACCGTTGGGTTGACTGCAATAACATAAAATCAAGTCTTTGAATAGTCATGTGGAGAAATATACAATATTCCTTAAACCTAATTATTTTCTTTTATTTCATTTATTTAGCAGGTACATTCTACTGATTTACTTTAATTTATGAATGCCATATAATTTAATAGGCTGCATCCTCACCACAGTGCATAAGGTATTTCAATTATTTTATATGATTCAAATTTCATCTTGTAAACTATCACACACAACATGGCCACAACAAAAGGCAAATGGAGTAACACAGGAGCCATAAACCAAAACAAAATAATTTACTGTACAGTACTATACCATAATTTTTCCTTCAAAAGCATACTACATATACAAATGGTCTTCCTAACTGAGAATTAAAAAAATATATAATTTGGGTAGTTTTTTATAATTCAAACTTTGAAAACTCATCAAGAATTTTTTACTTTTTATGCAAAAACCTCATAAATGACCGAAGCTATTGATCTCTGAACACTGTACATAAAATATAATTACCAATGACCATCATCAACCCATTTTTCTTCCCTCAAAAACTGCTCCCTTTAGTTATTTTGACTTCAGCGTCTCATAGAACTAAAACTAATATTAATCCCTTTACTGTTAAATAATTCAGGACAACCTGCCATCTGAGAGACTTAAATGACAAGAATAATTACAGTACGGTATTCTTCTGTTCTATTTATTGTGCCCGAGCCAGTGATTCTGCAGGGTTTTTTCACTATTATTTCCCACATCATAAAATTTTATAAATATACAGTACTTACTCTTCCAGCATGTGGGTTAATGACGCCTGTGTTTGGCCTCGACTCTCGGGTAGAGGACGTAGCCGAGGTCAAACGAGAAAAGACATTTTCTTCTCTGGATGTGGAGCGTCGATAGGTAGTTGGGGAAGTTGGCGGAGTCATCTCTGGATTATTGTCTCTGTTTTGCAAAAGTAAAACTAATTTTTACGGGAATTAGCCCACCCGGGCACAGGTATATCGATGACTATTGATCATTATATAATTGAACGTAATTTTCTGGCTTTACAGTGTAAGTGCAATTACATACTGCAGTAATAGTATGTGACTTCAACTACAATTACAGTACTATGTAAATGTTCTAGTACACTAAATAAAGCATGTGCAGTTTATTATCCATACCATTACATGTAATAATAGCTAAATATACAGTAGACACTTTGATAAAGGTCACAAACTATAATGTTTAAGTAATATATAAATGCTTCTACAAGACAGATTATGTAAATACAGCACTTATACTATCTTTTCAAACAATCCCCCTTGGGCCAATGAAATAAACAAAAAAAATATATATATAGCCTGCTCAAGCTGCAATATTGTACTGTATAAAACAAACATCTCATTATTTAATCAATTATCATACATTCAGGTCAGAACTATAGGTGGTCCAGGGCTGGATATAACATAAAAGGTGATTACAAATGATCTTCCTAATTTTAAATATCTACGTACAGTAAGTCCTCGCTTAACATCGGGGTTATGTTCCTAAAAATGAGAAGTTATACGTTCCTGAGCTTCCCTTTGCCCCATGAAATATACAGTCAACCCTCACTTTACGCGGTCCCACATTCTGCGTTTCCACGTTTACGCGGTGCCCTGCCAGAACCCAGGATGCTCACATTCCGCGGTGGGTGTACCCCTTTACACGGGTGAAGTATAATTTTTTTATTTAGCTCATAAAATTCATACAAATTACCCGGCCAGATTATAATTTACATGGCTGGAATTCTTACAATTTGATGATCATTTTGAATATAAACATCATAGATTTTGCATTAGACATACAAATTTTAGATGTAATGTTAACTCTGAGTAAATATGTTATCTTTTGTGAAAAATATATGACATTTATATTCAAAATATTCCTGGTCTTACAAGAAATCCAGCAATGTCAATTATATTATCCTAACTTTAGTTTGAGGTATTATTTATTACTATACCTGGTTTTCCCCCCAAAATTTCTCAGAGGGAAGAGCCAGCGAGTGTAGTGTGAGAAGAGGGGGAGGGAGTTGAGTCCATTATTTGAATGGACATTAGCTTGGCAACTGTATTTCTCTATTTCTCTTAAGTATTAATTGTGTGCATGTACCATCATAAAATTAAGATGTTATTTTTACTAGAACATAGGTATTGTGTTGGAAAAAGTGGAGTTTGGGGGTCAGCTGGTCTCTATTTCATTTAATCCCATATGTTATGTTATTCACTTTACGCGTTTCTCACTTTCCGCGGTACCCTGTGGGTTACATTAACCGCGTAAAGTGAGGGTTGACTGTATTACATACTGTATATGAAACAAAACGTCGTAGTATCAGATCACCGTCCTGGGACATTAAACAAATTTTTGGTCTCTTAAAGTTTAGCTATGTAGTACCGAAACAACAGTAAGTGGGGACTTACTGTATTATGAAAACAAAAACAAAACAAGACAGAACAAAGCCACAGCAAGATACAGTTTATTAAAAAATCGTCTCAAATACATTTATTTTCAGGCTATAGATATTCAATATGAGCTGCTTTTATAGCTCTGCTCATCAAAGCACTACTGTATTCTGTTTCCCTATATACACTTTGTACCATATCAAACTAAATTTTTCTAGTAGTTTCACAAATCCTTTCCTTCTAAGTTTACAAAATTGCTTTCATTTATTACATAGCCCCAGAGGAAATAGTCAATGTGGCTCAGATTAAGCAAACAACCTGGCCAAATAATACTCCCCTCCCCCCAATTCAACATCAGGCCATTCCTCACCTAGAATGTCTATAGCCTGAAAACCAAACTTTTTTGGTTCTTTTTTATTAGTGCCTTGCTTTTCTCTATAGCTTTGTTAGTTTTTCCACAAATGTTTCAATCAGGAGGTGTGTAACCACCCGGTACATATATTTCTAATTATGACTGGCACTGACAAGCAAACATGGCTGCCTTAGTTATGGATTCATTGTGGTAGAATAAATGATTTAGTCCCGTTAGTTTTTAATTTCTTGGGTGTGATTTTTATTTAATTCCAGTGGTGAGGAGTATTTCAACGTTTGTAACAGCTTTTGTAAAATTCTTGGAATATTTCACAGACCACTATACCTTATGCTGAACAATCAAAGAATTCCCTAGGCTGAAAAGTCTCAAGTAATAATGGGTAGAAGGTAGTGTTCACTTTTTGACCAAATTTTGGAATAAATGATCCCTAACTTCCATATGATTATGCCACCTCTGTGGTGGAATGTTTCACAAGCTACTGTATGTACCATATTCTGATCAGCCAATAGAATGGATGATTGCTTTTAGATTCAATCATTTTTCTCAGTAATTTTGCTGTGTTTATGTGATGGACTGAGTATGATAGTATGACAGATGCTGTTCCATGCTCTTAATTCAAATAATTCTCCTGATGTAAACTTTTATCATATATAAATCAAAATAAAAAAGTTCAAAGTTTTTAGTTCGTGGTGAGTGTTAAAATACTTTTCTTAAAATAAAACATTACAATAGAACCAAGACCTTTGAAACACCCTGTATTTCAGGTATTTATCAGGATGTATAATCATGAAGAATAAAACAACTCGAGTATCTTTTGGTGTTCTGTAATACCTGTATGAGTATAACCACTCCCAGTGTTACTAAGTCACAATAACTTTAGTTAGATGTAAACAAAATGTACTTAATGCGATATCACTCGTGTTAATGCCTAACAAATAACTGTGACGAGGAACCTAAACTTTGTATTAAAAATAAAACATGGATAATGGTCAGTGTAACAATGTCATACTGCTACTCACGCAGAATTTTGTCGTGAATAATTTAGATTTGAAGTGCTAAGAGAAGTGAGGGACCTTCTACCCAGTCGGGGAGAAGTGGATTCTTGTCGATCATATGACTTGCGACTAAGAATTGGCGAAGCTTTGTCAGGTCGATTGGACATCAGATTCCTGTAAGCCAAGCCAGCCCAAGCCGAGCCAGAGGTTAGTGTACACTCCACTATTCTGCTCCTGGTTAGTCTCCGGTTAATTCCACTAATCTTTTAGTTTTGGACGGTGAAGCTTAATTTCCCAGATAACTTAAAATTAATTCCGTGTGTGTGAGGTGAATTAGTTTTACGATTTAATTGTACCTGATCACTTTTGTTGGCATTGTGATGCTGGCTTGACCCAAATGTTATTAATGTATCTGTACTTATGGACAAAGAACAAGAACAAATAGTCTATCAGACAAGCAAGACAAACGTTATAAAAAAAAAGGAATACAGTACAGTACATACAATTTCAATGTAACACTCAAGAACTAGAGAATCAAAAACATTTCTTCAAGAAGCAAGATCTCAATTAAAACACAGCTTTCACAGTCACAAAACCAAAACTATCAGGCAGCAAAAATGATATGCACAGTGTGACCTTATAAAGTTACAAGCATAGATACTTAGACAAAAGGAAGAGATGCTGAATAATTCATCAACTTCCATAAAATACAATACAAACAAACTCAAAAAGCATTATTTGATTTTTTTTTACTTTTCTATTGTCAAATGGTTTTGAATATAAATTTTTTCCATCAAAAATAATAATGAAATCAATACTGTACTGTGTTCAGTATCTAAGTAATAACTAAGCATATCTGTTAATGACTAACACAAAAATTAGTTAATTTGAAACCACTGTATTAGTACCAACCAAATATTTTGTCAAACAATACAAATAAAGTCTAAAAAAAAGAGTATTACAAATATCTTAAAATGATGAACTTACTTGAGAGCATTTGGGGCTGATGTAACTCTAGGAACAGCCCTTAGAGAGCCAGAGGGTGGAGGCATTAGCAAGCCATCATCACTTAAAACTCCTTCCAAACTGGTTGACATACGATCCATACCCAAACTTGTGGCCATGCGGTCTGGGACTGAGCGATCTGAACTAGCGCGTTCCAAACCCAAGCGTTCCATTGCAACAACAGATGTTGCACCGACGATGGTTCCTGCTGGCGTGGTGCTCGCACTGACATCTGTACCACTGGCATTTCCATTTTTCTCGGAGCCATTGGTGAATAACATATCCTCTGTAGTGGCTGTCTTGCGTCGCGCTTTGTCCCGCCTTTTTAGGGAATCGGAGGAGAAGACTAGCGAAGTGGCAGATGATTCCATCAGGCTGTGAGGGGTAGGGGAAGGAGGAAGGGGAAGGAAGGGTAAAGGATACATGGAAAGGAAGAGCAAACAAAACAAGGATTGCACAGAAAGATAACATTACAGAAGACAAACCAAAGAGAAAATACCAAGGAAGGTTCAATACCATAAGAGGACAAGGATGAGGACATACAACAAAACCAATACAATTTTAAAATGAAGCACATGCATGGAGTTACAATTTAGAAGGATCACGATATTTCCATTGAGGCCATAGAGAGCAGTTCATAAAAATAATTGGTAATCCAGGGAAACATTAGACAAATGGCAAGAAACATGCACAAAACATAATCAGTAGAAAGAAACAATAATCGCATGCAGGGTTTCGACCAAGGTTGTAGGAAGGAAAATAGGGGGAGGGAGGGGGGGAAGAAGAGAGAAAGGAAAAGGGGAGAGACAGAAAAATTTTTCATCACTAAACATGCTGAGGCCACTATTGCTAGATTTCTCTCCCAACTTTAATTTTGCAATTGCAGTAGTTGATGAAGAAGGTGGAAGGTTGCAAGGTAGCCCCACCATTTTCATGTCATAGCTATCGCACCCATTTCTCACCAGAGCCATTACTCGGAGACCTTGGCATGCCTCATGCATGCTCTTCTTCAGCAAAGGTTAACAAGATAACCTGCTGTTAGCACTTGAAACATGTGCCCTCCACTGACACCTTGTGGTAACCAAGTCTGCACGCTACTCCATATATCAGGATACTATAGACACCACTAATGCAATAACTTTTTCCAACATAACGTCTATCATATGCACTATAGCAAGTGTGATGAGTAACAGGCAGGTATTTTCATCTAAAAGCTCTTCAAGTGGAGGGAAGTGGCTAAGCATTCAATAAGGTGAACGAAATTAAAATAATAATAATAATAATGAAATAAAAGGGTGGAGTAAGGTTCATCAGGAATAAAGGAATGGGTGTCTGGGGTCATACACTGTACTGCTACTGAAAGCTAAAGAGTATTGACTAGATTTTTACCTGTCAAATCAGGATTTCCTCACTACTTGTAGAACAAATAAAACAGGTTCTGTAGATCCCCTCACATAGCCAACACCTATATACTGGTACACGTTATGTTGCTCTGTAAACTCTTCCACACTACTCTTAAAGCTAACAGGTCCTTTATATGTCAGGTAACCCACTGGGAGATTTAAGGAATAAATACATAAGATAAATACTATGCTGTACTAAACACACAATCTACTAGCATGTACATTATCAGCTAAGGTATGACAATGTGATGAAAATATAAAAATCATAATTTAAATTTATGATATACAGTATTCACTCACAGTACTGTACATATTGCCTTCGAGACCAAATGGTAATTATTAAAATGAAAAAAAAAAAAAAAAATCACTTACAGCACTGTACATAAAACTGAATAAATTAAAAAGATATACAATACAGATTTTATTATCTAATCTTTCTTATTAAGGATAAAAATGAAGGAAATAACTGCTACATCTTGCTTACACTTGTTACATCTTATAAGGAAATATTACCCCAAATTACTGACTTAAGTCAGTAATTTGGGGTAATATTGATTATAAGTCAGTGACTTATAATCAATATTTAAATGTACAGTACAGTATTACCCCGCTTAACGCGGTTTCACTTAGCGCGTTTTACCGTATACGCGGTGCCTCGCCAGAGCCGAACTTTCACTTAACGCGGATTTTTTCCACATATACGCGGTGAGTGTCCGGCTCGAGACTATTTTTAGATTCGCTCCTCCCGCCTCCTCCCTCCGCTTGGGCAAGCCGCGCGGTAAGGTTGCGCAGTGTGTGTCTTTGTTGCGTTATCACTGACGTCATATGACGTATCGGACTGTGATTGGCCATGCATCCCTACCCCCCTCTGCTGCTAGCTGTAATTGGCTTAAAGTATTATGACGTGTCCACCCGGGGGAGGGAGGAAGGGAGGAAAGACGACGCTTGACCTAGCCGCGGCAGTTTCATCCCTCCAGGCCGCTCCGTGTATACGTGAAGCCATTGTTCTGTGAAATGGCTTCCGCCGGACCACCACCGCCACCAGAGAGAGACCTTTCCTTACCTGGACCCAGCCACCCTAAGCCCAAGAAGACACGTCGTGGTCTAAGCTACGAAGTAAAGTACCAGATCATTCAAGATTTGGAGAAAGGAACACGGCAAGTTGATCTCGCGCGCCAGCATGGCGTCAACGAATCTACGATTCGCACTATCAAGAAGGATGCAGCCAAGATCAAAGAGCACATGAAAATCACAAAGTCTGCAGGTGCTTCAACGATCAGGTATTGCCAGAACAGGGTGCTGGCAAAAGTGGAAAATTTGCTGGCGAGTTATTTGATTCGTCAGGCGCGACGCAACATGGCGGTGGACACGCGCTCAGTGCAGGAGTACGCACGTGAGCTATACGCAGCAGTGTCACGTAAGCTGGGAATTGCAGAGCCCAAACCCTTCAATGCTTCCTCTGGTTGGCTGCATAGGTTTAAGAAGAGGAACAAGATCACCAACATCAACATTGGTGGTGAGGAAGTGAGTGCTGACCGTGTGGCGGCAAGAGATTTTCCTCCGTTCTTACGTGAGATTATGGAGGAAGGAGAGTACACCGACGACCAGGTGTTTAACATGGACGAATCTGGTCTTTTCTGGAAAAAGCTACCGTCCAAGTCCTTTGTTGTAAAGAATGCCAGCAAGATTCGGGGCCGGAAGATGCAGAAGGAACGCATCACCGTCCTGTTTACCACCAATGCCTCCGGTACCTATAAACCAAAGTTATCGGTGATTCACACAGCCCGCAAGCCGCACGCCTACAAGAATATGGACATGAACAAGCTTAATGTCCACTGGCTAACCGCACGTAAGGCGTGGATGTCCTCTTCTCTGTCCCTCTTCTGGTTCGACAACTGTTTTGTTCCTGACGTGAAGAAATTATGCGAGCAACAGAATGTTCCATTCAACATTTTGTTGCTCCTTGACAACGCACCTGGACACTCGCCCCTACTTATGGATCGTCACCCCAACGTAAAAGTGGTCTTCCTTCCTCCCAACACTACGTCATTAATCCAGCCCATGGACCAGGAGTTGATCTGCAATGTGAAAGCTGCGTACTCTGCAAAGAAGTTCAAGCTCCTGAACGACTCTACCAACACCAAGGATGAGTTGCGTAAGCTGGGTGACACCGACAGCGAGAGTAAAAGCGACGAGGACAAGGAACAAGAGGTGGCGACTCAAGAAGTTCTCGTCAAACAATTTTGGAAGAAGTTTAACGTCAAACAAGCTGTAGACTTCTTGGTGGAGGCATGGGATCTGCTGTCTATTGCTACGATTCGTCACGCATGGAGACATGTGTTGCATGGCATACCAGGTGAGAGGAGGAGTGAACCTGTGACTGGTGAGGTTCAGACTGTTGCAGTAGCAGTGGACCTTGCCAGAGAAGCTGCACTCAATATTACAGCTGAAGGCTTCTCCGAGACCACCAACGAAGACATCCTGGAGGTGATCAGAGATCCTGAAGTGACTGCCGACGAGATGTTGGAAGATCACGTCAGTGAAGAGGAGGAAGAAGGTGCGTCATTCTCTGAAGAACACAGTTTAACTCATAGTGATGTTAAGGGTGCCATGGAGTGTGCAGAGAAAATGAAGTCCTTCCTCTCCCGCGACAATGACCGCTATGAAGTCTTCCATACCCGGCTGGTGCAGGCTATGGAGCCGTACATCACGGGAGCCGTACATCACGGTGTATCACGACAACATAAACACCAGCCGTCAAAAAAGCATAACCGAGTTCTTCGCCCGCAACCCACCACAGCCAGCCCAAGCCAGTGATAGTGACAGAGGTAGAGACAGTGAAGATGACTTTGAGGGATTTGTCAGGGAGGCCATAACAAGTGTGGGTGACAGTGATGGTGACTCACCTGAGGGCCAGTAGCCTGCCCTCTGCCTCGGAACCAGCCTCCATCCCCGTACGCCGACCCATCTCTTCTACTAACGTAAGTGTTCCACCTAACTTTTATTTTTCCTAACCTAACCTTTATTTTTCCTATGTTAACCTTTATTTTTCCTAACCTAACCTCTTCTAATATTACTTGTTTTTTCATACCATCATAAAGTTAAGATAAAATTTTTACTACAACATAGTTATGTGTTGTCAAAAAGTGGAGTTTGGGGGTTGGGCTAGTTTCTATTGGAATTAATCCCATATGTTCTGTTGTTCACTTAGCGCGGTTTTCACTTAACACGGTACCCTGTGGGTTTTATTGACCGCGTTAAGCGGGGTACTACTGTATTGTATTTATAAAGACAAGGAAAATGTTGTCTCTATTATAATAAGTGCTTTATTTATTAAGGAATTTCTCATGTCTTGGAAATTTTAATGGCGAGTTATCCTTACCCATCTGTCGGAGAATTTGAACGGGAAGACTCGGTGGAAGCGGGAGTGTTGTCCTCTGCCGCTACAAGGGAAGACATCAGACTATACACCTCAAGGTCCTTGTCTCCGAGTACATGTGCCAACAGCTGCTCTTGAACACTTGTAGTCTGTTCCATCTGTTTTGTTGATGTTATGAGTAATCATGCTAAAACTGCCATCCACGGACATAGAGATTAAAATGTAACGTTTGACTTTCCTAATAACCTGAAGCAGTGAAAGAATTAAAAAAGTTAAATGTAATATCTGTGAGCTCAGTTTTACTACAGAATATTATCCCCAGTGTATTCAAAGATATCCCTTAAGCAACATCTTTCTCTTTGGCTGAGCTTTTCAACTTTTCATCTGGTGAATTTTCCAAAGGTTGAGAGAGACACATTCACAGTAACTCACCTGTTTCATTTTGCCCTCCAATTCAGATATTGCAGCTTGCCTCTGTGCTGCAATGGTGGCTTGATTAACTGTCATGCTTATCAGCTTATTAAGGAGGTAGTGGGATTCATCAGTGCCTAATCCAGCAGTCACAGTGCCTATGTGGAGCAGCTCTGATTGCTCCTAAAAATACGAGTTCAAGTAAATTAGTAATGCACGTAATACTTCATAGTCTGCTGCACTTGCTTAAATTACAGTATACACTTCACCACTGAGGATGTTTAATGAGATCTTTAAAAACAATGTGAAGCATTTACTGACTATATAACATAAACACCCTCCTACAGTTCAGTTTTATATTACTCGGTTCTATAATCACATTGTGCAGCTCTCCGTCTGATCTTAAACACGAGTCCACTTACGCCTCTACTGGATGGCTCACTCACCTTACTCTCCTCCATGCTCATTATATTCTCTTGGCACTCTTGAATGTTTTCGTGAATGTAATCAATGTTGGCCTTGAGAGCTTCAACCTGGTCGCTCAAGTCGTTGTAGCCGGTTCTGTCCATCGGGTCTGCACGTTCGCGCTTCCTCACCACGCGCTCTAACTGCCGGCTTAGTGATTCTCGTTCTTTTAACCACCTGTGTTTGGGAAGCAAAAATATATATCATTACTTTCCCCTTTAAATTAATGTAATTTAATGTCATGTAATCAGAGTAAAATAAATATATTTGTTTGAACACCCATAAAGTATGAGGATCAGTTAATATACTGAATGTCTAAAGGTAAAATTTCCTTCTGTTTCTAAAATATTGCTTGTCATAGGGTGTGCAGTAAGTTATGCCATGGAAGAGGAGGTAAGACGCAGTTCTGAAATATTTTGGAGACTGACTTATTAGCAAAGAAGTAAAAAACTAATAAAGCTTTAGATGATACAGTAAACTCTCGATAACTCGGCATTTGATAACTCAGAAATTCATATAACTTGGCATGGATGTGTATTAGTATAACTCGGGAAATGGCAAGATATGTAAAATTATCTGGGAAAATCTCGGCATATCTGGCTACCTGCATCACCTACCATGCCTATCTGTCACCTACTAAGATGCTTCATTCTTTGCCTGCAGTGCTGGTAAGCGTTACTTTTTTACATTTAGTAATTACATGTACACATATATGGGTTGAAATTTTTTTTATTGTTGTAGTTTTGTAAGGGGGGGGGGGGTGCCTCGATAAGTCGGAATTTGGGATAACTTAGTATGGCCAGAGCCCCATATGTGCCGAGTTACTGAAAGTTTACTGTATGGAAAAAAAAATGTGATGTAATTACTGTACAGAATTAAAAATAACATTATTACAGAGGGACTGGGAATACATAGAGTAGGTACCTTATAATATGAGTTATGAATCATGCAGGTGTTCCTCGGTTAACACAATTGACACGTTGGTAAAAAGTCTCATGCTAAGCTAAAACATCATTATAATAGACATTCAATACATCGGATATTGGCTTTATCAGACACTGGCCACCCACCAGTATACAGACAAGGTGCTGCAGTGTTGTACTTAAGTGTGAAAAAATGGCCATAATTCACTGATGATGATGATGAAACCCAAAGCATATCGTGTTTTGTTAAAAGTGATCCCCAACTGATGTATACCGTAGTATAAAGATTAAATCATACCGTGAGCATGCGTGTTATCCAAGGAATGCCTGTACTGTACTGTACATTAATATAAAAACACAAATCTTGAGTTTCTATAAAACTTCCCAATTTTTTTTTAATTAATTTTAACTTTAATTTAGCTACGTACAATAAACGCCATTCTCGGTACCTGTACTTGAATTAGTCTTATTGCTTTAGTATGAAATAAATAATACATAATTTAAAGAAATATATGAATGCAGTACTTCAATAACATTATAAGAAAATCTTGTACTCTTCAACTATCTTGGGCTATCATACACTGCAGTGGGAAATTGCCAACAAGAACTGCAAGCATTTATTTTTTCAACTTTAAACTTCCATAAGGTAAAGCAGCAGGATGGGCCACTAATCAACTACCATCAACCTTGCAGCAACTTACCCTACTTGCATCCTTTTCAGTGAAACAATTCAGAGGGAACAACTTTAAATTACTGCATGCATAAGAATATATTAATGCATTACATTACCAGCACAGTAAACAGTTTCACCTCAAAATTGTGTAGTTCTGTCGTGCTGTTCCTAGTTCACAAGCACTTTAAATTGTTTGACATCAAATGACTCCTAACCCTCTGAGTGCATCATAAGATTTCCTGGATGACATTCTCTAAAGTTGCAATTTTACCAGAAAAAAATGTAATTAAAAATAATATATCAAACTTTTTCATTACTTGACACACATCCAAAAATTGTCAGATTTCGTTTTCTGGCCTTCAAATTTTTTGGAAACCATTTTATCTTGTGAAAACTTGCAAAACTGCAGGGAAAGTAATTTTTTTTAAATGCTAATACTGTAATGTATTTGACCATATCTAATGTTCCTAATAGTCCAAACTAATTTAAAAGCATTTTAATTATAATAAGTAAAATTAGTAAATATTCAACAATATTGGCTAGCTTTAATTCATAGAAAAAGGTAAATTGAACAGGGGGCAAATTTTTTTGACAGCCAGGGTAATACTGCAGCCAGCACACCTGAGAGTGGTGTTGCTGAAGTAACACTTATATTAATGTTACTGTTGCACCCAAAAGGTTAATTATGATTCTGATACCTTACCATATTGCACACTTTTTAAAGGGGTTGCAAGGAGAGATGCTCAAGACAACAAAAACATACACTATGCCACTGCCATTACTGCATCCTATTTTTAAAGTAGAACTCTTGCTTCTCATCTTGTTCAAAAGAATATGAACCTCATGATGTATATTCGCTACACAATTAAGAGGTGAAGGTTAAATTAGAGTGAAAAGTTACTGAAAGTTGGTTAGATCAGATTTGTACAGTACAAGGAGCTCCTAATTTGAAACCATCCTCTGGTGTTGATCCTGAACACTGAGGTGCCAGTAACCCATCTTGCTGAAACCTTAAGACAACCCCATATGAAATGCCAACCTCAGAGTTTATACAGGTACCACTAACTCTGATACACCAGTCTGCCATAATTAAACTCAACTCAGCCTACAGCTACCCTTATCAGTGCCATCTTGAAGGTCTTCCTGTGTTTACTAAACTATATAACAGAAGTCAGATAAAATAATAAAAACACTTCAGTGTTCAGTTTTTCCCAAAAATCAGAAGCTTGTCGTATTCTTTAACCATAAAACTGAAAAAAAAATCTGACAATCCCTTGTACTGCATCATAATAAAAATAAGTAATGTGAGTTTAATACATTGCAATGCCAAATTACCTTTCCATGTCACGTTCCATGCTACTGACTGTTTGTTTATTATATGCCACTTTGTTGATAGTTTGTTCCAGGCTCTGCCATTTCTGTTTAGCCACCTTTGGAGAGAATGTAGTTGACTGTAGTCCCATTCCAGCCTCTGCAAATATAATTATTTATATGAGATGATATTACAGCCTAAACTTCAGATCTGTATGACCATCCATTCCTATAGTTGGAGGCCTGTTGTGTACAAAAAAGTACAGTAGATGGAAAGGAGGATCAGCAAGGTTGATTACTGGCAACAATGATAAGTGAAAAGCCTATTGGATGGGAAGTGGTTCAGGTGGTGTAACACCCCTGATTGCTGAAGCGTGGGCAGAGAAAGCACTTAAGGTGCCATGGGTAAATGTGGGTAGGCAGGAATCAGAGGAAGAAAAGAAAAAGTTTTGGGACTAGTTGTTGCAGGTAGTATTGAAGTTCGGTGAGAGAGAAACTGTGTTGGGTGATGAACATACTGTTGCAAGGTTACACCTTTTGGTTAGGTTTGGTGAAATAAATTTATTTATTCTTGGAGTATGTCCAGAGTACTTCCAGAACACCAAAAACACCAACCAATCACTTCGGAAACCAGTAGTTGGCAAGTTAATTAACTAGCATTGAGAAAAATTTAATTAAAATCTTCCATGCATCATGACGACCACAAATTACCCTGCAATCGAATTGTGGACCATAGATTCGGAATCGGCATGCTCAAAATTACCTATACGGTATATCACTTTCAAGACAAAAACACACACAATCTACTTACTCCTTCGCAGTCTTCCTGAAGCCTTGCTGCTTAATCCCTGCCTCGGAACCTTCTTTAATACAGCCAGCTCTTCCGTCTTGCGCTTTAATACAACATTTTTTAATCTATTCTCTGCTTCTAGACTTTTTATGTATGTTTCTTGTTTACGAGAAGCCTTACGCAGCTGAGCAATCTCTTTGTTCTTCTTAAGTTGTTCTTGTTTGGCTCTGTTGTTATCATCTTTCATTTTGTTCATAAGCTGTAAAATGAGTTTTGAATTGATGACCAAACATCTTTTAATAGAATTCATATCTGACTCCCATTTTTCTAAACAAGGATTCTTAGAAAGGGCAGAAACTTAATATGTCACTACCTATCCACACAAGAGGATGAGATAGAAAAATTACAAACATTTACCTACCCTAACTTTAGTCTTCTTCATCTCTGCTAAATCGCCCTTCAGGGTACGCAACTGCCTCTCGTGTTGTGATCGCTCCCTCATCAGCTTGGCATGTTCTTTCTGAGCCACCTGTAACTTCTTCAGTTCATGCTGCATGTTGTTGATCTTACGTTCATACTCCTGCTTCACTGCCTTCACTTTATCATCGCCAACAGAACTGCTCGACTTGATATTGGCAAGTACCTGAATTCATTAATTCAATTAAATGATTGTTTACAATTGCTTCACTATACAGTAGTACATGTTAAAAATAGTTCATCACTTGCAATAAGGAAAGGGAACAATCATTACTTCCTTCAACTTCAAATGTTTCCAGACTTATTTTATGTAGCTATAGAAGACAACATCTGCCTGTTGAAGAGTTTCACTAAACACTGTACCTTGTCTCTCTCATCCTGTGTTGCCTTTATTCTATTCATTAACATATTCAATTTATCCTCGTACTGTTGTCTCATAGTCTCCAGGCGGCGCTGACTCTGTTCCAGACCTTCGATCAGTTTCTGCTTTATAGATATCTCGCTGGTCAAGTCTGCCAGTTCTTCATTATAGTTCTCTGTCAGGATACAAATTGACATTACAATGACTCAAATCAATTCACTGTCTCAACTATTTGCTACACTACTTTGATAAACTTACTATGAACATATATATAGTTTCCTGTACTTTACTTATAAACAGCATAAATGAGAAAAAGAGTGAAATATCATTTAAGTTATTCTAAGGGATAATTAAAAAAAAAAATTAAGTGTTAGATATAAGGAGCTTCCACATTTGGGAACCTTTTAATAATTAACAAGTCATAATATCAGAGTACTATACAGTACTGTATTATGGTGAGTCTGACACATATAAGGAGTACTGTACATAATTCCAGTGTGCAATCCACTAGCTTGTTTTTTCTTGTGGACAACAGTAAAACAAAGTTGTCCACTTCCCCTACCTGATTCTTCCTCTTCCATATCAGAGTCCTCCTCATCTTCATCTTATTAGCAGCACAGAAGAATAAAATGTTAAATAGGCATTACTGCCAGCTCATTTGGCTCTTGGTTAAAAGTACTGTGCTGTACATTTGGGTGTATTAACTTCATGTACATTATATATCAATATAAACTGTAAATAAGTACTAATGTTAACATCCTCAATCCCATTTCCCAAAATTATGAGGTTGTAACCCTCAATGAAGAAGAGTTAACTTGATCCAGGGTCTTAAGAATATTTTGACCAATTATATTTTTCTCTTTGAATTGGAATTTACGGTGTTTAATTAAATACTTCCAGAATAACACAAAAATACCAAAATTACCCTCGGAAACCCATAGTTGGCGAGTAATTAGCATTTTAAAATTTCATTAAAATCAGTTATGTGTTAATACGACCACTAATTACCCCACAACGAAATCGTAGACCACAAATTTGGAATTAGCATGTTCAGGAGTACCTATACCACAGCATACAACCATCCCAACCAACCTGTCTTGAATGCAGGATTCAACTCATGTCTCTTGAGCTAAGAATCCAGTGTCAACAGTCTTACTACAAATGCACAGGTGTTACTGCTCTGGGTAGCTTCTATAATGTGAATACCTTCAGCATAATGGAGACACACAATAACCCCAAAACAATCAATTTAACATTGTTGTAGTCTGCCTGTAATTTTACCCCTCTAACATATAAAATACACAACAATGTCAAGTATCAATATCTTTTTTGTTTAAGTGAAAAACATCATCTGGCACTCCACTGTACTGTACCTTTATCCTCCCCACTTTCATCTGAGCTCTCTACATCCTCCTCATTGTCTTCTGCATCACCCACATCTTCCTCCTCATTGTCCTCATCATCAGCTGAACCAGATCCTTCTGATATCCTCTTCTTCCTCTCAATGGCCTGTATATCTTTGTTCAGGTCCCGCTTGGCCTCCTCAATCAGTTCTGTGAAGCTCTGTGTGCTCTCCTCCATGCAGCCAAACATGGAACCTAAGATGCATGAATAAATAAGTTCTTTAAGGCAATGATTGAATGCAAGTGTGTGTGAGGTTAACAGTGTGTGGAAAATATGCACTGATCAGATTTTTTTTTCATCATAAAATAAGATACATTTATCTATAAGTATTATTAAATTACACAACAAAATCGCACAGTCTGCCTTATCCTATACTGTGATAAACAAAGGGGATTAATAATAGTTTTCAAAATTTAACTGTTTGAGAGTATTTTTATTACCATCATTATTATCCTTACAAAACTAACTGTCCTCAATAGATAAGAGTTGAGTCAGTTTAAGTGCTTACCTGTCATAGGAATATGGAGAGGTGACATGGACAGCCTGCCAGAGTTGTTAGCACGATTATTAACTTGTTTACGTAACTGCTGACACAGATTTTCACTTTCACATAACTTGGCTCTTAGATCTTCAATCTCCTTGAGGTATCCCTGCACCACCACCGCCATGTCTGTATCCTCGCCCGCTACACACAAAATATATTAATGCACTTAATACCTGTAAATAGTGCAGCATATATATGGACACTATACATATAAGGTATGTTTATGAAATGTATATAGCACACTAATAATTAATCTAGAATTTGTAAGGTCCGCATTTTCATTACCCACATTAATTTTAAAACTCTCATCAAACAGTAAGTAAATATGAAAATATTTAACCAATTACATATACTGTACTTCAATTAACCCCTCAATATTAATATTATACATCTACCTTTCCCCCAATTAATCTTTCTATAAAACACAAAAACAACTTCCTCTCAATTCCCATTCACGTGTACCTTTATCTGGCAGCACTATATAGATAAAGAGATCACTAACAATGGTTCTAAATGACCTTTTTCTACTTACAACTAATCCAGCCACTTGTTTGTTTCTCTGCTAGGAGCATCGTGTTCTTGGTGGTCAGTACTTCTACAGTCTCTTGTAAAGCTTTTATTCTAGTTCTCATATTGTTGATCTCTGAAGAAAGCATCTGGTTCTCGTGGTACATGTCGTTGACGGCCTCTAAACCATCCTCTCCAACGATACGTTTACCCTGGATAAATAAAACAATGCAATATATTAATTCTACAAATACAATAAAGCAGAAATAAATAAATCTAGAGATGGTTATAATTATGAGAACTAAAATGATGACTACCACTTCACCTTAAAAACCTAAGGAGTACCATACAGTACAGTACTAATTCAAGTATATTTTACACTGGTAACCTACTGGTAGAACTCATTACTCCATGCATGACACAGTTTGACATCACATTATGTTTTCCCAATTTACTTCCATATACAGGTTCAGTATAGTTATCTTCTGGGTCCTCTTTTCTATCCAATTACAGTATCCAAAAACTTTAAGGTGAATCACTAATTACCTAACTATACTGTATATTATTCCCATTGATACTTCTCCTCTTTCTTCTCCAGAGTCAATACCTATTACTGTACTCCTAAAGCTAAGCTAAACTTATGTTTATTCTTTAACAAATTATATTTTGTCTTTTGTTTTAGGCTTCATTTTCTTTGGCAACTCTCCTTATTTATGGAAGTGGCCTCATGTAACCTTCCTGTCAATAGAATTCATGAAAAATTTGGTTTAGAATTCTACACGTTGGTTTGTGAAGTGATACAGAAGTTAACTGCTGGGGTTTAATTCAGATAAAATAAGAGAACTGGCAGTCTACCACACAACATTTCACATTACTGTACCTGTTTGTACTCCATCAGCTCAATACGAAGTTGTTGAATCTCTTGCCGTAGTATAGCAATGGCTTTACTGGCCTTGTCCTGATTAACCATAACCCTGTTCTTAATGTTCCGTGCACGGTTGGCATACTTTAGGGTGTTCAGCGTTTCCATAAAGTCTGTGTCGCTTGGAGAGATGCACGCTATCATGAGTGTCCTGCTGTTACCTGTTAAGGAAGATTATGTTAAAAAATCACCAAGTAATTCATATACTGTACCGTACTATAAAATCAACGACCTGGCTGGTGAGGTCGCTGATTATATGTTCAAAGTCCGCGTGTTATATGGACTAAAAATGAAGTATACTGTACTATGGGTAACTGATATTTCTTGGTTTCATAAAATAAAATAAAAACTCGGTGCAATGGTCAATTCTTAGCATATTTGCATTGAACATGTAAATACTTTAATAGCTACTGTAAATATGAATTATTATTTGCTAAACTGAGGAAAAATACTGGTAATTGAACTTTATGTTTCCCCAAATACCACAGTTAAATATTAAATCACAATATCAAACATTCACTGGTTCAATTATGCATTTCTTTTTATAAATAGTGGGTATTTATATCACAATGTCTATGTTTCAGAGGTCACAAAATAACATTCCTGTATTAATATCTTTCCATCAGTTTTTGTATAACCTGTAAAAGTAATCTGAAATAATATAAGGTCTTCTTCCTCACCTCCAAGAGAATCTTGTAGAAGTCGGGTGAGCTTAGAGTCTCTGTAGGGTATATGAGATGCCCTCTTGCTGATATCACCTAATGCAGAGATTACATTTCCAAGAGCCAGCTGTAAAATTCATATCGGTTAATAATATATAAAACAATTGTTAATTCTTCTTGTAATAACTAAAGGGCATTTTAAGTTACAGTATATTTACCTAATAACTGAGCATATCACACACAGGTGCTTTTGGAAATCTTAATAAATGTGGAAAACTTATCTGATGGTATACGGTGCTCAAATAAAATGTGATGTGAATCTCATGTGATTTTCTAAGAGCTCAAATGATGTTATACAATGATAGGCTATGGCAGTACCTCAACCAGTTATCACAAAATACTTTTTATAAATCAGGGTATCACTTACAAGACCACAATTGATTGATATACCCTCCCTCGCCCTCTCTCCTGTGGCTCCTGTCCTCTTCAGCCGTTCTGACCCAGCCAAGTCAACAAAATGAAATTTGGCTGTTAAAGTCTCAAACTCCGGAATATCTTCTGTGCTTTCAACATCCTGAAAATAATCAAAAGTATTAGCAAGGTTTAGTGTCTTTTCATTCTAAAAATAACAATAACCTGATCTTTGGCCCAATGATCCTAAATATAATAAAGAACTGTGCTGTACTGCTCTAGGGAAAAGGAATCCACAGCCACTATTTATGATGTTCTATTTACCATATCATTTCACCACTTACCTTACTACCTATTGGTGCTAAGTGACTAAAGTTACTGCCCAGAAACCAATTACTGTACTGGGTATAATTTTAGCAACAATGACTTTCAACTTAAAGTACAGTACAGTAAATCCTGAACTTTCTCCTCTCCAGGACTATGGAATTTATGTAACTGCAATACTACATTGACCAGTGCATGGAAATTTATGTTTTGGTCTGGAAAGCAAAATTTCTACAGACAAACATACCAACAGACAAGACATACTATGTCTATGGACCTTCAAAATCAGTGTCATGCCAAATTTTAAACATTACAAGGAATCTAATGGATGTAATAGTACAGTTACTGTAGTTCATTCGAGTGACAGAAAAATACTGATAATATTAAAGAAGAAATATCCAAACAGTAGTTGATGTAGCTCTTAGTAGTACAGTAGTACAGCACATACAGTATTGGTAGTAGTAATAATAGAAGTAGTAGAAGTAGTGGAAGTAGTAGCGGTAGTAGTAGTTAACAGTCGCACTATCACTGAAATCAGACCCCTCCTCCACCCTCTGGAAGAAGCTATCAGCATCAATTTCATTCCCAAATTAGTGAAACACCCTCACTTAACCCCAGCAGAAAGCTCACTCCTTGCACTACCACCGAGACTGGGAGGAATGGGACTGACCAATCCGGAAGAGATTGCTGCCACCGAACAAAACTCAGTTAAGCTCACAGCAGCCCTTACGGACCACATAATAGCTCAGAATGCAACAGGGGAGGTGGATACCAGTGAAGTAAACAAGATTCAAAGGTCCATTATGACAGCACGGCCAAAGTGATAAGTTGCAGCAACTGTTGCTGCAAGTACCAGAGAATTTGGGTAAAAAAGTAACTATAGCACAGGAGGTGGGCGCCTCGAACTGGTTAACTACGTTACGGATAAGGACAAATGGTTTCCGTCTCAATAAACAAGAATTTACAGATGTCAATGCTCTAAGGTATGGTAGGCCAGTAGAAGGTTGGTAGAGTATCTCACCTGTACAGGGGCAATTCTCTGCTGCTTCACAAGAAGGGTGAAGATGGCGTGTGACCTGGAGGACTGAGTGTTCATGTTGGTGGAAGCTGTGGTCCTTGAGAGAGCACCAGCACGGAGACACTGCATCGTCTCCTCCAGGGAGGTCACGGTGCGGGTAGTGATGCCAGTGACGTAGATCCCTCCTCCAGCATCCTCGTGTATACGGATACCACTCTTGCCGCTTCCCTGTGACGAGAACAAATCTTAGTATACAGTGTAAATTAAATGAAAACACAACTGGCATTATGCAGAACTAACAATACACCCGGAGAGAAGGCTTGGCTATGTTTGGACACTCAAAAGCTGTAGTCCTGTCTTTGGCCTCTGACCCAATAATCCCAAAATCAGTAAAGGGATTATGTGACACCATGTTCCTCAGACCAGTGGATGGCTACTCAAAGAAGGACAGACAGCGTCATGCCACTCTACACTCAGGTTTTGTTGGCATATTAAAATCACGCTTTACTTCTGATACTGGTTTAATTTATCGCTTAATGTATGTGTTTGCTACATACATAATGCTCTACTTGCTCGCTTGTATTCCTATTTCCATGTCTGTGTATTTGTGAGATATTGAAATGCATTATATATATATATATATATATATATATATATATATATATATATATATATATATATATATATATATATATATATATATATATATATATATATATATATATATATATATATATATATATATTTTGTATATATACGATACATGACACAGGCTCAGCAAGAGGTAGGTAGGTAGGTATGTGAGGCAGGCAGGAAGATATGTTGGCAAGTGGTTTGAACTGAGCTACCAGAGGGTGACATAAGGTGCTATTTGTAACAGTGACTCCACACACTGACCTCACTCTTAACATAGGGTAAACCTCAAAATTTCCAGTCATATCCCTGTACATTTTCAATCGTCTCTTCAAATCTTCAACTATCTACCTCCAAATCCTCAGTCATCTCTAAACAACTCAAGCATCACCAACCCTGCCTTCATACCCAATCACTATAATTCCCAGCTCACAGTATTTTGTCTTCCTCTCGACATCTTTAACACCACACAAAGTTCCTGGCTCAGACGGCAGGGATAAACTTTAACCCCTTGAGTACAATGAATTAACCCAATGAGTAAGAATCCTATTGTGACAATTAATTTAAAATAACACATACAGTGTGCTATGTGATGAATGGAAAACTTGATGTAAATTGAATACCAAAACAGTATAGTCTCGGTTTACGCGGATATTTTATACGCGGTTGGTCATTTATGCCGCACCTGTCCAGACCGCCAATTATTAGTTACGTGGTACATTCCTTAATTTACGCGGGAAGCGGCGGGGGGAAGGCTGCGCGCTAGGTCGCTCTTACGTCAGACTCGTGACGATAACGTTTCGGACTGTGATTGGGACACGCATCCTTACCACCCACGCATCCCCTCCGTCGCGAGCTGTGATTGGTCTAATTTTACTTGGCGTGCCCTGCCACCAGAGGGAATAAGTCGCTGACCTTAGAAGCGACCGACCCATTGTCCTCCGTCTCAAAGTAAACAGTTCTCCCTCGTGCCCGCTAATCTGCTCAACAATGGCTTCTGCTGGACCCCCACCACCCCCGAGAAACCTTGAACTACCTGGCCCAAGCCATGGTTATGTGAAGGAGGTCATCGAGTTTGCGGAGAAAATCAAGCTCATCCTTGCCAAAGACCCAGTCAATCATCGCTATGAAGTGTCTAATAACCTTCTGTTTAAATTTATGGAGCCGTACGTCCAGATGTATCACGACCACCTCAATGCTAGCCGTCAACGAAACATTACCAAGTTCTTCACCCGCAACCCACCACAGCCACAACCAGCCCAAGTCAGTGATAGTGACGATATGGACTTTGAGGGGTTTGACAAGGAGGCCCTGCTAGCCTCTGTGGTGGATAAAGATACAGGTGATACAGGTGAGGGCCAATAATCTGCCCTCTGCCTCGGAACCAACCCCCCATCCCCGTGTGCCCAGCCATCTCTTCTACTAATGTAAGTGTTAAAAAACCTAATATTATTGATATTTCTCTTAAATATTAATTGTATGTTGCATACCATCGTAAAATTAAGATGTTATTTTTACTACAACGTACGTATTGTGTCGGAAAAAGGGTTGTCTGGCGGTCGGCTCAGTCTCTATTTCAATTAATCCCATATGTTCTGTTATTTCGTTTACGCGTTTCGCGTTATACGTGGACCTCCATGGGTTTAATTAACCGCGTAAAACGAGATTACACTGTACTGTGTTTAAAACAATAATCAATTTCACATCTCATTAAAATGTGCTTTACAGCACTTCCTTATCCAAGTGGGGAAATACTGCAGCAAGAATGAAATTAAAACTCTTAATCTTGAAGTAAGTACAGTAATTACAATAGTTTGACGAGCTTTTTCAACGAGGATATTAATTCTGGCGTTCATCTTAAGGTCTTACCAGCCAATAAACCATGAGTCACGGAGTACAACAGTAAGATATTTTAAAGGTTCTGTATAAAATAATAAGGTTAATATTGACGAGATGCCCGCCGCCACGTTGTTTGTTTTCTTACTGTATCTTCATCGGCGAGTTCTGGTGATATTCATTTCTTGGGTAAATAGGTGAAAATTCGTTTCTATGAAAAAATGGCAGTGGGTATCTTGTCAATAATTACCATGAGTGCAATGGGATGGGATGGGTCGGTATAGGGTGGGGTGGGATGGGATGGGTGGGATGGGATGATGGATGGGATGGGATGGGTGGGGTGGGATGGGGGGGTGGGATGGTGGGTGGGATGGGTCGGTATAGGGTGGGATGGGTGGGGTGGGATGGGATGGGTCGGGTCGGGATGGGATGGGTCGGGGTTGGTGATATTATTGCAGTTTTACTCCCAATTGGACTAGAAATTATATCTCGTTAATTGCAACAACTTTTTCTAATACCACTTCCATGTAAAACCAATTGGTAATGAAACTGCAATTTTACCATTAATAATTATCACTCACCAGGAATACATCTTTCTTCAGCCTTCTCATGTTGTCTTTCTTCTCTTCGTCTTTGGAAACTTTAAATCAACTCCAAACAGGCAAAACGAAGTAACTAATCCCATCCTAACCTTACCTAACTTAATTACAAGGTTTTCCAGGATCATTAAGTTAGGTTCGATAGGTTAAGTCAGGTTTAAAGACACAGTCCGTCAGTGGCTCTGCCGGTGCCTTGTAGTGCCACCTGCCTCGTATGGGAGGACTAGACAGGTGGTTCTTCTTCAATTATACATTTGGGTAATAATATGCTTAAAAATAATACTGAACACTAAAAACAATTAGATATATTAAAATGTAAAATAATTACTTAGTTAAGAATGCCAATTAATTAACTACAGTACTGTATTGAGAAAGGTCGTTGCAACATGGTAGGTTAAGTCTGAGGACAGCATCATTATCGACGTGAAGAACAGTATTATTATTAGTACAGTAGTAGTAGTAGTTTATTCGTTATTATTATTATTATTATTATTATTATTATTATTATTATAACATCACCATTGGTAGTAAAGGGTATACAGAAGTAGTATCAAATTTTTATCATTACATCACTACGATTTTATCATTATTATTATCACTTATACATATTGTTACGACCGTGTCGTATTTTTTCTATTTTTTGTATATGACATGCTCCCATGTTCCATATTATTCCTGTAATGGTGTGTTGTGTTTACTATTATATATTCTAGTCACCTTACCCTGTGCTGTTAAGGTTTTAACTGTCATTATTTGTTCAAGCCCATCTTATTTCTTTATTTTGTATTGTAACCAGCATTCTTTGTTCTCTAACGACCATCTGCATCGTTAAACGACCCACCGACTTGAGTCGGTTCAGTCCTCTTGTCATACAGTCCACAGTCCACGTTACGGGCGCACACACGTAACTTATCATAAATACAGCACAGGGTTCGTCCCAGGATGTTCTGGCGGGGAAAAAACAGCCAAAGAGTTCAATAAACTGCCTCCGAGCGTACAGGGGCAAGGAACATGACATTGCGTTTTATTTTATATACAGCGTGTCCATCAATAACTTAACCTAACCTGAAAGTTATTATAGATAGAACAAGATGGTTTTATTATACGTATGAGTTGTTAAAGTATACAAGAGTGTTATAACTGATATTTTTGGAGTTTTAAAATGGAGTGTAATTAACTTATGTCAGGGCATGGATGAGTCGTATAAAGGTTACAAAAGGCACGCATTTTAAGCACCACAGTGGATGTTTAAATGGCCCGAACGGAGACAAGTTTTTAATACCTTTCTTGGTCTATCCTTGGCCAAAATAGACGTTTACCGTTGTTTGTATACCCGCAGTGTCTAGGTAAATTGTTTAGCCACATTATTCACGTACTCACTGAAACAACTTGATCTTTTAAGACGAGTTCACTGAAAATGATCTATCATTTCGGCTAAGGTAGACAGCCAGTGAAAACTTGTCCGAGTTGGTTACAAAACAAAAATAATAACAATAACAATAATAATAATAATATAAAATAAAACAACACGCAGGAGGAAGCCATAAACAAATAACATTATACAAACATCAGTTAGCCAAGTAGCATTGGAACCCCGGAACAAAACATTAGTTCGACACACAGCAATATAAGACGTCAAGTATAACCTGACAAACGTAAATAAACAAAACGAGGTTACCAGATACTGTATCATATTCCCACGTAGGCGTCCCTGTTAACGGTCCCCGCGCCAGCATACACAAGGATTCTCCACCGTCCTCACTACTGACAGGCAGCTCCTTTTATCCTGCCCTGCCCCTCCCTGCCCCGCCCTCTTCGCATCTCTGTTTTTTGCAGCATTCGGTTTAAATTCACAGCGAGATGTGTGGTTTTATCTAGACAATAATCATGGTTGGTTGGTTGGTGGTGGCGTGGGAGGTAATTTAAATTTGATTTTTTCTTCTTCTCCCGGGCATCATGACGCTGACGACGCCTTATTCGGTGATACTGTACCAGTTTCTTGTTATTTTTACCGTGGTTAATGTTGTACTCCTCCTGAATATTACTGGCGATATCTTGTAAATATTTCCTTCGTGATTATGGCAGCTTGTTACTGTAAAGAAGTGTTCATAGTGTTACACCCACACACTATAGTTCTCGCTCTCTCAAGATTATGTCAGTTTAAAGCCACCAGACGTGACCTTTGCTATTATCCCGTTTCTTCACTACATTTCCTCTCACTCATCATCAGCGTGTATCCGTCCATAACCGTGTCTTGAGCCTTCACTACCCACTGCTCCTGAAGGGGGTGGAGGTAGGGGTGTAAGGGGGGGGGGCGATCTGAGGAGGAGTATACGGGGGAAACGGGTGGAAACGTCAGGGGGTGGTCACTCGTATGGATGAGCTAAGGGGGAGGGAAGCACGTGAGGTATACCCTGTTGCCAGAGCAAATTAATGTGTGTTCGTGACTCAGGCAGCACGGACGCCTCCTCACTAGGGCGCTACCACAACAACACGCACGTGCCCACCTACCTGGCTACCCTCCTCAACCGTCACGTCGTCTGCTGGGAGGGAGGGAGGGTGGGTGACTCACCGCCTCATTCATTCCACCAACAGTAGATTGTCTCGAGCAAAAACGTTGACAACAAACTTATAAATCTGTCGACTTAGAGTCAACACGTGTGTGGTAGTTAAAATTAGTTAAATATTGATCACATTCGATTGTCCTAACACATTATAAACTTCGCGCGGAGCCTGGAGATAAGGGGGGGGGGGACGAGCAACAAGGTCTAACTTAACTAGGAAGTCACATTCATTATAAGTTGAGGTTCATTATTTTTTCTATTTTTCACGACTTTTCTACGATTGGTTAGTTTATCAAATATTTCTAGATCTCCAGGATTTTTAATGATTGTGAAAACCCTGCAGACATGTGACCTCTGAAGATTTATATACCACTTATATGTGACTCGAACACAAGATGAACCACATGTGCGACTCAAACGGAAGATGGACTAGAGCCAGGGGGAGTGAGTCATGAGTTCAAAGTGAAGGAGGGTAATAAAGGTTCCCCTGTACTGAGCCCAGGAGAGTGACACACACACATCAAAGAGACGGACTGTGGTGGTGCGAGTCTATAGTGGTACTAGGGGTGAGGAGTGTGGTAGCGGTGGTGAAAAGTGGTAGAGATGATGGTGAGGAGTGTGGTAGTGGTGGTGAAAAGTGGTAGAGATGATGGTGAGGAGTGTGGTAGTGGTGGTGAAAAGTGGTAGAGATGATGGTGAGGAGTGTGGTAGCGGAGGTGAAAAGTGGTAGAGATGATGGTGAGGAGTGTGGTAGAGATGATGGTGAGGAGTGTGGTAGCGGTAGTGAAGAGGTGTGGTAGACTGTACACACACACACACACAACAGCAAGCAGGACGTGAGCATGTCAGATGTATCAGGCCAGCTGCTGCTACCAACAGGGTGTCAACAGTGAATGAGGAAGGTGTCCATTACCCGCCAACAACCTCTACTTGTAATACCTCTGGCCTACACCTCCGGCCTACACCTCTGGCCTACACCTCCGGCCTCTCACCTACCAATATACACACTATAGCACCGGGCGAGGAAGTGTGTCTGTTGACGATTATTATCAACACCTGACTACCACTCTGTCAGGTGTGTAGATTAGTTCCACATGTTTGTCTGTAAATAACCTTTTTTTGGAGGGGGGGGGGGATAAGTAGGAGGGTTAGGGGAAGATGGGGGAGTGTTCAGGGCTTTGATGTGTCATAAATGAGTATGACAGTCTAAAGTGTCATAAATAAATACTGTCTACCAGGGCTTTGCCACATTGAATACCCCGATTCTACTTTTCTGTATCGTAATAAAATATACTCAAGTCTGCGGGTATGATATTATAAAGTATACTCCGGGACCAGGCCTTGTACTCTCGCCTACATCAAGGAAAACAAAATTAATAAATCATCTCAACACTCACCCTAAAATGTGGTTCGAAAAGGTCAATAATCTCTTCATTGTACAGCTCCATGAAGTGGGCGGTGACCTTGAAGTCTGGCGGGGGCGTCTCGGCTTCCTTCGCTGCCGCCAGACGTTCGTCGATGCCCCTGAAGAGGTGGTCGACGGCGCGAGGGATGATGCCCACAATGTCTTCTCCGTTGTCCACCTCGAGACCCGTTCCCATGGTGTAGGTCTTACCGGAACCAGTCTGCAAACACGTGACAAGAGTTTACCATTTTACGTTCCTGGTGAAGTGTGTCCCTAACAGACAGCCATGCGTATGGAACCCACTTTCACAGGACATTGATTACGGGTTCCTCATATAGTCTGGTTTTCTTGCTTTTGTGCCAAGACCTACATTAGACAACTATGAATGGGCGCCTTCTAATAACTTAAAGATATACACTTATAGAATACCTTGACTCTAAGTGCACCATATTGTAAAGTACAAATAAGTGCTCTACAGTTTCTTAACCCTGTGCCAAAAAGAGACAATGTCAAGCTAAAATGAACGGTAAACAAACTTGGCTCTATCAGGGTCTAATATATAGCACAGCACATCAAAAACACTCCCAGTATCTAATGAGTCTTAATCTTTTCACAGTAACTGGTCAATCGTCCACTCTCAAAAAAAATAACCTGGATTCTGCTGGAGGGAAACACACAGGACAGACAGACAGACAGAGACAGACAGAGACAGAGACAGACAGAGAGACAGACAGACAGACAGAGACAGACAGAGACAGACAGAGACAGAGACAGACAGAGACAGACAGACAGAGACAGACAGACAGAGACAGACAGAGACAGAGACAGGGACAGACAGAGACAGGGACAGAGACGGACAGAGAGAGACAGGGACAGACAGAGACAGACAGAGACAGGGACAGAGAGAGATAGGTAGGGTAAATGCAACAGGTGTCACTTCTCCCATACAGGTAAAGAGTGCTTACTGACCTGACCATAAGCGAGGACGGTGGCGTTGTAGCCTTCAAAACAACCCTCGATGAGTCCCGCCACACACACATCGTAGACCTCAGACTGTGTGGTGCCTATGTCGAACACGTGGTCGTAGGTGAAGGCCTTGTCGGACCCCAGCCACACCTGAGGCTCGTGTGGGGTGACGCTCGTACACACCCGACACATCTCTATCAGTTCGCGAGCTATCTGAGGCCGGATCCTACCAGGGGGGAGAACACTTATTAACACCGAGTCCTCGTAACATAATACACTCTGTACATACATACCAACCGACTTAAAACATTGTTCTTAAAGTTTAATTCATGCAAGAGTAATTTTTAGTGTCAAAACCAATAATATTTCAAGGTTATATAATAAGAGGTACAAGACAACAAAATAGAAGAAATATATACTGTCATTCCACACTGTGGTTTTATTACGATGAAGAGAATAAGACAGTTTGGTCAATAGAGAGATTTACACCTGAATATTACAGTTAAACCTCCATATAACGGACTTGTAATCCGTTATGTGGGGGAGAGGTATAAATCTAACGGACTCTCGATATAATAGACTTTCCTCTCCATATAGTCCGTTAAATAGAGGTCTCACTACACTGCACGTCAACAACATGTCGTGAACGGGTTGTGACCTCAACACACGCGGCCTCTACAGTGCCAGGTGTCGGCAGCTTCCTCCCCTACAGTGCCACCACTGAGGCGCTGTAGGTGGTGGCGGCGGTGTTGATGTAGGAGCTCCCGAGTCCTCCAAAATCCTGGCTGGACTCCCAAGACTCTTCTCTCATCACTGGTAACGTACACAGACCCTGGAGAGTCTTTCTGTAGCGTCCTCGTTACAGAATCTCTTAACTCTGTGTAACCTTACCTACCTACACCTGTACCTGCTGGGTCTAACTTAATGAAGTGATGAGGAATGATGTATTGTCTAAAGTTTAAGTCTCTCGAGTAGGTAGTGTGTACCTCCCCTCTAGAGGGTGAGAATGTCCCTCCCTGGGGGGGTGTCGTCACAGTAGGAGCTAGGGAGGGGGTTGAGGGAGGCGTCAAGAGCCAGGGAGGGGGAGAGGGGGCGTCAAGAACCAGGGAGGGGGAAGGGGTTGGGTGAGGGAGGGGAGAGGGGCGTCAAGAACCAGGGAGGGGGAAGGGGTTGGGTGAGGGGAGGGGAAGGGGTTGTGTGAGGGAGGGGAGAGGGGCGTCAAGAACCAGGGAGGGGGGAAGGGGTTGGGTGGGAGGAGGGGGAGAGGGGCGTCAAGAACCAGGGGAGGGGAAGGGGTTGTGTGGAGGGAGGGGAGAGGGGGCGTCAAGAACCAGGGAGGGGGAAGGGGTTGGGTGGAGGGAGAGGGAGGGGGGGCGTCAAGAGCCAGGCGTCTCACTGCCGTCGTCGTCAACATCGATCCTCCGCTGTGTCGCACTCCTGGGGTACACCTGTCCCTGTATACTCAAATAACAACAGACAACTCCCCGTAGGCATAAGCTCATAAGGCAGGTGTAGGTAACTAGGTTATGGCCGAGTAAATACCCGAACAAGGAAGCTTTTATGCAATCATACAAACCAGATAGCAATTAGGCTGCCAAGAGGGATATGTTAGTAGCTTATTTCTCCAATAAAAAAAAATAAAAAAACACCTTTATCCTGTATGTTTATTATGACTGTTTTGTTTATCTTTATTATAATTATGACGGAACTGAACCATACTAGGCAACCAAGTCCACGGAGACAAAGAGGGAAGGAGCTGACACACACACTGCTCCTCTACACCACACTGAAGGAATGATCGCACCTCAACATGCAATCATAAAGTAACATGAAAGAAGTGTTGGTGAGGGAACACTAGACGCACTAAACTTGGGTAAGAAACAGGAGAGATACGTGTTGCGTTGTGTTGTGATATAGTATGACGTGTTCTGGTGTTGAGTTGCGCTATGTAGTGTAGTTGCCAGCTTCAGTCCCCACCAACATACGTTTACGGTGAGTCTTTAAACCCCAGATATTGACCCTTTCTCAAGCCTAAATCCAAATGAACGTAAAATCCGTATTAGACGTGGCAAAAACGCAGGTGTGTGTACTGGAGGGGGTGGAAAGGAGAGGGGGGTGGAAGGGAGAAGGGGGGGGGGCAGGGGAAGAGGGCTAGGGATATACAGTCATCATCAACACACGTCCCTGTCAGATATGAATAAACAAATTGGCACTTCTCGCGTAATTAACTAGACCAACCAATTAACCCCCCACCACCAATTAACCCCCCACCACCCCTTCATTAGTAATTAAATCAGCATATTAGGCACGAGAGGTTAAATAGAGAATCGTGTCAGTGGTCCGCTCCGCCAGGTGAGGTAGGGTCGTTTATAAGCTCACCTGATGAACTTTTGCAACGCCGCCTTAATTAGTACACAGGTGGAGGACTACCCCAGCAGGTACTTACTTCCTGGTTATAAACATTATCACACCTGGCCTCCTCCTCTCACCTGTTTCCTCTCCTCACTTGTCTTTCCTCCTCTCATGCCTTCCCTCTCCTGCCTCCCCTCTCACAGCCTTGGCGCCCTCCCTCACCTACCAGCATAAATTACAAACTCCTCACCTCGTAGGAGTTGTGTGTGTGTGTGTGTGTGTGTGTGTGTGTGTGTGTGTGTGTGTGTGTGTGTGTGTGTGTGTGTGTGTGTGTGTGTGTGTAAGACGGCAACGTAACTGACTGACTGAACCTAAACGACATAAAACACTTACTCCGGAACTACACCTCAACTCAGATACGTCCATTTAATAATAACTTAGAGAGATTCCGCCAGAGAGTTCTAGTCGGTGCTAAAAGTTGATGTATCTAGTTAAGTTAAAAACCCCGGCCAGTGTAGAGACAGACAGACAGACAGAAAGATCTAAGAGGACTTTCCCTACGGATGGTCCATAAAAAGAAACAATATGTCACACCCCCCCCCCAAAAAAATAGAGGTGGTCAAGAAAAAACCTACACTTTTTTTATCTGTGGAGTTTACACGTGGAAATACTCACACATGGTACTCGGCACATGGTACTGACACGTGCTCTTGACACCTGATGCTCCGGCTTTAGTACTCCCCATGACACACAGTACTCTGACACACAGTACTCAGCACACAGTGCTCTGACACAGTACTCTGACACACAGTACTCTGACACAGTACTCTTGACACTGAGTCTCCCCAGCACACAGTACTCTGACACACACTCTGACACAGTACTCTTGACACACAGTACTCTGACACACAGTACTCTTGACACACAGTACTCTTGACACACAGTACTCTTGACACACAGTACTCTTGACACACAGTACTCTTGACACTCGCCATACTTATACATGTACACATACACACCACTATCCATACACGTACACAAACATTCCTCCAGACCCACACCTACATCATTAAGGAACAGGTAGAGTCTGGTCAGGTGTCAACTACCTATCACCACCACCTACGTCACACCATCGAGGTGATAAGACGCCAGAATGACCCGTAGATAGAGTGTCTCGCCCAAACAAGGCGACAGACACCCCCTACCTATCTCTTGGCTATTTGTCCGGCACTCTAATGATTCCCTCCTATTTCCCCTATCTCTCCTCCCTTCCCTCCATGCCTATAGGATGAGATATATTCCCTATTCCCCGGTGAGGTAAAATGGATCACGTGAACATTAGGCACCCCAGCTTATTTAACATAAAGATCAAACACCCTAACCTAACCTAACCTAATCTATCCTCAACTACCCCCCCCCCTCCCCCACCAGGTAGCGTTAGGGTGTTTAATCACCAGGTGCAATAAGCCTGGGGTGCCTAATCTTCAGGTAACCCGGAAATTCCTTCACTGACTGGCCACTCAAGTCAGCCAATGAGCCACCTCCAATTTAACGTTCACTCTGACATCATATTAAAAGTGAAAGGGTTTAATTCTTCTTCGAATTCTTCAGGTGAGATGTGTTAATTCTCGACAGGTGGATGTTATGTTTAGAGCTTCAAGAATATATAGATCAACAATAGTCAACATTCACCAGTTATCCTTTAAATTCACAGAAGAAAAACACCATCACTCGCTACTGACACCATCACCACCACTACTGTCACCATCACTATCATCACATGTCACCATAACCTTCAACGAACAGAAATTAAATTCACACACTACCTTTCATCTCTGGACACTATCATCACCATATAGAATCATCTGCACACAACACCCCCTCTCCTTACGTCACCATCAGGCCGGGGCACTAATCGTTCTCCCCCACGCTAATGTTCCTCGCCGTCTCTGAACGTCTTCCAAGCACAGTTGGCAAAATACACACACACACACACACACACACACGAGACTAGGAAGTAATATGGTATCCTTGGAGGTGATCTTAGTGTGTGTGTGATAATAATATCATCAAGGCTGTCAACAGGGGGGGGGGTCGAGGAGAAAGGACGTATGAAAGGACACCACCTGGTTACCTGGTCTGAATAGCTCCCTGATTAGGTTTGGTTAGGTTAGATTGGGTTAGGTTAGGTTGTAGTGATGACCGACGTTCCTCACCTTCACCAGCCTCCCCGGCCGGCCTTCCTTATACCTGCTATAACACAGTCTACCCAAGGATGTCTCTCACACGACCAGGGGCTTGTTGTGCATGTAATCACTGTCTACGTGTTATGTATTCCAGCCATAGCATTAACTCTCTCTCTCTCTCTCTCTCTCTCTCTCTCTCTCTCAAAACCCAACATCATACTGTATTTAAAGAAATTCGTGTCCGTTCCGCATTCCAAGAAGAATTATTTCTGAAAAGGTGAGGTGCGTAGATGTGTGTGTGTGTGTGTGTGTGTGTGTGTGTGTGTGTGTGTGTGTGTGTGTGTGTGTGTGTGTGTGTGTGTGTGTGTGTGTGTGTGTGTGTGTGTTTCCCAGGTGATATACTGTGGGATCCCAGACGTGTGGTGGCAGGTGAGGTGTGTGTTGGTGTGTACACAGGGGCAGGTGTGGCAGGGGTGGTCACTGCACACACACACACCTACACACACACACACACACCCCCACACACACACACACACACAGAAAATGTGCTTTCTCATTACGACAAGTTCAGAGCGGTCTTCACTTACGCTAATACCCACCAATAACATTAAACTGCGTGAGTCTTGCAGCTTCTTAAGGCACCAGGAGCCAAGAGAAGACCTGACGTTAATGTTACAGGAAGAGGAGG